AGTGGCCGGGTCGAGTCCGCTATAGTGTCGTCCCATCAGGTCGCCACTTGCTAGCGTCAGCAGTGACGACGGGCGCACTGTAGCCACGCCGGCCCTGGTCAGCGGGTAGGTGAGGCACTGTTGCCACGCCTCGGCTGACCAGAGGCATGGGAGGGGCACTGCTGCCTTGCTCATCTTTTGATTGAGGACTCGTCCCATCGTACGGCCTGGATGGGACGGGAGCTGACCCGTGGCTAGGTTGGAGAACACGCCAAGGGGAAGCTGGCTTGTTGAAGACGTCTTGGTGCGGCGGGTTCGGTTGCCTTGCGCCGGCCGTTGGGGCCGGGTCGAGGGATTCGGCCGGGTTGAGGAACTTGGCCAGGTCGAGGGGCCTTGGCCGAGTCGGGCGACCCGGTCAAGCGTGAGCCGGCTTGAGGGGCGCTGCTGGGCCCCGTTGTTTTTGAGAAGGATCTGGGTTCTGTTGCCTGCCTGGGGTTTATCCCCCAGACAAAGGCCATCAAGGATTTCCTCTACATTCAGGCTGGCTGGGAACTCCGGCATGGGAGAATCGAGAGGCTCACTGGAGCCCATGGAATGCTTGCCGGTTGCCAGCCCGAAGGAGAAGATGTGTTGCATTTGGTTGTAATTCTGGATGGATGTGTTGAGCAACTCAGCGTCTTTGGGATGGTCCTTAGAAAGAAGCACAAGCGTTGTTAGTTGCAAGTAGGCAATGGTAGTTAGTGTGAAAAACAAGGGGGCGGTGAGCTAACCGCGACATGGCCGGTGTAGTGCTCTGCCTCCAGAACGATCGAGGAAGTGTTTTGATCCCATAAGACACTACTAAGGTCTCTGACCTTGAACACTTGGATCCATCGACCTCTTCACTTCCTGAGGTGGTTGTACACCTGGCTGGCAGTCACCTCCTGGCCACATAACTCAAACATCTGCTTCACAACGGTGTTCGAGTGCACCTTCTTGAAGGCCATGTCAGTCCTAACCCCACTAGAGATGACCTCAAACATCTTGTTCAGCATGAACATGGACATGAACGGCTGCCACTTCATATTGTTCCCCCTAGCATCCTTCTTTGCCTTTGTGGTTGCCATTGGTGCAGGGACAACAGTAGTTGGGTCAATGAGCACAACTGGCACAAAAAGAGAACCATCAACTGATACCTCGAACACATCTGAATCAGGAGGCATCTGCTCATCGAGGGGGATGGGAGTCCTCGACATAGGACGTACCATACTGGTTGTCGGACAGGACAAGGGCCTGACTAAGATCATGGGTCTGCATGGTCATGTCCTACAATCGTAGCACGCATTGACAGTAAGCATAGCACACACAGTACGGTACGATCTATGAAAGGAGGACTATACATGACAACTATCTATGAATACATTGTGTTCATCACTATCACACTACTCTACCAAACTACAAATCCACCATCAATAGCTACCACAACATCACAATCTACCGCATTGATAGTAAGCATAGCACACAAACTGCATGAATCAACCCTAGCTACCACATGCTTGCACATCAAACCCTACGACCACATGCTCTCAGATCTAACTACAATGAACAGAGAGAAGAGGGTGATTGAACTCACAAAGGCCATGGCTGCAGCTCGAGGTGGACGCGGGAACGGTCGGAGAAGTTGAGGACAGGAGTCGCCGCCATTGTGGATCGCCTGCCGGTGAAGGAGTGCATCTTACCTGCTCGTCGGTGCCGATGTGCGTTGGCGGGAAAGCTTAAAAGGGGGGAGAAGGGTGGCGGGACTTTGGGCGGTGAGGGGAGGGGGCTAAATAGGGGCAACCGAATTGGTGGGAGGTGAGCTGAAATCCTCCCGCCGATTTTTAGGGCACGCAGGCGAGCTCGCGGCATCTCCATGGTCGCACGAGCTCAGCGCCGCGTTCCCCTCCCCTACTTCGGTCGAGCCTGGCTCTCCAGAAACTGCCGATTCGGGCGTAGCTATTGGGCCTGGCTAGGAGATGCTTTAAATTTCGTGCGATGCATGCCGAACAGTGTATACATGCTATCAAACAGGTCGGATTCTTTCCGCGCGGGTCTGATTGGGCCAAATGCAGGCAACTAAACACACCCCTATTGTCGCCAATCGACATCCCTGGACAGGTGACCGAGAACGAAAACAACTTGCAATTGAGATTGCTCGCAATCAGTTGCTGCTCTTCAATCGGATACCTCATGATCATCACTTTGCTCTTCTCAAAGTTGTTTTTAAGGCCTAACTATGGCGTCAAAGTAGAGGAGAAACTTAGGATTGATAATACTCCCTCCAATTCATTATACTTGTGTTAGATTTGTCTAGATACCAATGTAGACACCTCCACCGTGATGTTGGGGTACTACCGGATAAGATTTAGTATGTAGTCATGTGTGCTAGCTCCAGGCATGCAGGCAATCACAGACGACAACATATACACATACATACATACATACATACATACATACATACGCTGAGGAGTGAGGAATGTATGAACCTGGTGAGTATCTGCAACATCCAGGCTCATAGCACTTGACCTCCGAGGGGAATGCATGCATGTTTGGCCGCCTGGGTGCTGCTGAAGCGTGACGACATGGCCTCCCCGGGCCGTGGCGCGGCGCTCGATCCCCCCGTGCCGCCTGCCGACTAATTTGTCATCAAGAGCCGACTAGTCGCCCAGTGACAGCAGCGTGTGTGCTACTGTATATGCTACAGAAGTAGAGATTCCCTGCAGCGTCGACCGTACTGCGCGCAACAACATACGGCGGGCGCCAAACCAAAACACCCTGCACGCATGCGTACGCTGGCTAATTAATTATAATCACGCAACGACGGTCTTGTTCCGAGTTCCGACACGCCATACTATACGCTGTTTTGTCCAGCCTGCCTGCCAGTGGCCGGCCTAGTGGATACGCGCGGAGGGCAGAGGCGGTCGCGTTGTTTATTCGGCGGTCGTGCGGTGAATAATCTCGCCACGACCTCGGCTGCCTGATACTGCAGTACTACCATACGCTGTTTGATTTGTCGCCGCGTGCGTGCGTCCGTCCGTCCGTCCGTCTACAGCGGTCGACCTGAGGTGACCAGTGAAGGACCCGTGGGCGAACGTCCTGGAGCCATGCCCACATATGGCGAAGCAGCCCACGACGGGGAGCTCCTACTCTGGGAAATTGCAAGGACGCCGCGCCCCCCGTCGTACCATTGCGTGGCCTGGCTGCTGCTTTACTTTACAGGCCTAGGCCGGTGAGTGAGGGTACGTTTCCCGCCCTGTGCCACGATATCTTGTCCGGCCCGGCCAGTGAGCCACTGGGGTGGAAAATGGAAACGATGGCATTGCACCTCTCCCAGATTTGCAAATCCACCCTTGCCTGCTCCTCGCCCCTACTCTACAGCTGCTCACTCTCTCGCTCTGCTCTGCTTCTGGTGCAGCTGCAGCTGCGGCCAAACCACAAGAGAACAACGGACTAACTAGTTGTGAGCAAGCAACTCAGCTCTGTTTGGAGCGTGTCTGGCTAACTGGCCGCTCCAGGATGCGCACACGCACGAGATGGGTATGAATCCTGGCTGCATCTACTACTATGCAGCGCTCATCCAACATTGCCAGCCACCACTTGTTAGG